CTTATAAAATTTTCTATTTATTATACATTTGGTATCCTATAATAGAGGACTTTCTATAAGTCTATTAGAAGTAAGATCTATTGGAATAGAAAGCTTAGTAAAAGATATAACTTTCTATAAGTAGTAAGATTTCAGCCAGTTTTATCTATTGCTGGATTAGGAATAAACTAAAGTACTAGTGCAATAATATGATTTCTTGTTAGTTAGAGCTGTGATAAAGATGATTTTTTTTTATTTGTCTCTGTTTTTTTTAAGTCTAAGTATATCTTTTTTTGGTTGGAAGCCAAGGTATTAGTAGTATGCCTAAAAGAGTAATATTATTATTTCATAAGTTTTTAAGTATACTCTTGGCTGTAAAGACATTCAGTCTAGGTCAAAATACTGAGTAATTTGAGAAATCATAATAGGATAAACTTTGTAGCTCTTTAAGTTGTATAGTATCCAGAATATTATAGAAGCTGCACTACTGAGAACTATTATAGTAGAATGCTAACTGGTACTAGTACTTGGTTATCTTATTTTCTAAATAAAGCTTACTTGTTCTTACTAATTTTATAATTTTTATAATAAGGGTGTGGTCAGAAAAACAAAGGAAGGAATAGAGCCTGAGATTGTAGGCTAATACTATGTTCTTATACTATTGGCAGCATTATACCATATATCCATATTGGCAGAAGTGGTATCTGATTAGTCTTCTCACTTGCATTTAAACACATACTCAATTTTATTAGAATAGATAACTTAAATAGAAAGGGGAGTGTGAGAGCCCCCTTCTAACCACTAGTTTTAAGCACCCTCTCCTGTTGTGCAATATTCGGAAATTTCTGTTCTATCCTGGTGGCATAGACTTACAGGAAGTCCTCTAATGATACTACTAAATAGACATTATAAGAACTGGAATGACCAGACCAGGTACTATGTAGTTGAATTGAGGTTTTTGATGGCTCAATACTAGCTTCAACATTTCGTAGGACCCGGCAAGATTTCCAGTAAGGACTTTCTATGATCCTGGCAAGGTGGGATACAAGATATCAGGTCCCCCTCAGCCCAAAGAGGTGCGTTTCTGCTATGCCTTCCTTGCCGCACTATAAGCGTGAGCATCGCTTTTCCCCTCTCTCCCTCTCTTTCTTATTCCCCCAGCGATTCCATTTCCCCAGTCAGGTGCTGCAGTATTTCGCCTTGTAGTACAGTACCGTACAAATGCTGAACACCGCTGAGCCGTGCAACTTGAAATTTACGGGCAGTGACTAATCAGCTGAGCAGGCGCAGCGCAAGCTAGCGCGCTGGTGCCTCCGAACCAAGAACTGGCGTCCCTTGGTTCACGGCAACCAATCCCAACATGGCCCGAACCCTGGACGCAGAGCCACGAGTATGGCGCCGGAAGCGGCCGGTGGACTTGTGTGCAACTCTCGGTCACAGAAGTGGCTTTCGTCCAAATGCCGAATTGGTCCTAGCTCTGACCCTCGAAGTGCCGTAGCCTACCGTACCGGTGGGTTATTGCCTTCCGGTCCAATTGAGGAGCAGTCAGGGGGTGTGATGGGGGGGGTAACACATTCCCCTTTCACAGCTTCTCCGCCATGGAATCGCGCGATGGGCGGAGCCTTTATCAGTGGTGAGGTAGGCGAGCGATTAGTTGGTTGGTGCATACAGTAGCAGCCTGTCAAACTTAGCGTCGCAAGGTACTGGAGTAAGTTACGGTGGCTTGCTCCGTAGGCGTGGAATGGGTGAGTTGTGCAAAGGAGCTTGCAGGCGCACTGCCAGCACTTGAACAGTTAATATCGAGCACTTTTTGGGGATGATAATTCTCCACGATAGTCCTGGAAGACGCGACAAGGAGTTGTCATAACACATTCACCGGCAAATAGGGGCCTTTCTGGAAGGGAGGGAAGGATGCACAATTTTCTCCCCTGTCAATTACTTGTACGAGTACACAGAGCGCTATGATAAGTTGTGCAATCGAGAAATTTGGTGGTGTTGGCAGGATGTACTCGTACTTGTAATCCCTGCCAAGACAGGGATTTCCATACTTGTAGAGTGCTCAAGTCCCCCGATTGAAGTCATGCCAACAAAGATGCGGCTTCAATCCCGCGACAGGAGTATACTCTACGATACCACCGACACCCAGGACTCAATGAATCTCTCGCACGGCTGGTGGTTTGGAGCAACAGGTTAAGTTTATGTGAGAGCGTCTCGAACTCGAAGAGGTTCGTATGGGACGGTGAGGCTTAAACGTAGGTAACTTATCATAAGAGAAGAGGAGAATTGGAACCAACCTCGTCCCCTTTGTTTTTAACCCCTCCCTCGTGGGTACGTGACGCAAAAAATTTGGAAAAAATCACATACCGGTATTACCCCTTGGACAGGCTGTGTCATACGGGTGTCTAACTCCTAGGCTTCCTTCAAGCATAATTTTCACCCTCTTCCTCGGGGAAATCCCGATTTTGGTATGGCATCCAAAATGTGCACCAACATCCAACTTTTTGGATGATATAAGAGGGTTGCTGAGAGCTCTGATTGATAAGAGCCATTTATTCTTTGCCCCAATACTGTAACCGTATGATACTAGTAGCCGTGACGAGTGATCCAACGTGAATGCTCATGATTTTTGCCATGTCTGTTTGCGAGGTGGATATCATACCCGCGGGGGTATCTTCTACCGTGACCTCTAACTTGGAAATCTTGCCCACCCACACGACAAATCAGCAGATGAGTATCGTAGTCGGTCACTGGCCTAGGTTACTCGTGGGACCGAAATCGACATTGCGCGTCATGATTCGCAGCGGAAGATCCTCTAAAAACGTCCCGGGAAGGCGAACACAGTAAATGCCATCACGATATCTGGCGATCAACTGTGCAGCAAGTGAGCGCTCTGCTCTAGTAACCCGGTTTCTCGAGCGTTGAAAACTGCTGTATTCGTAGAGCGATATCTATCCCACCCCGGCGGAATCCGATCGTTCATCTCTCAAACTTGGTTTTCCGTCGCCGACCATCATATCTACGCTTTCCACCCGTGATGGACCCACGCTGGGAGGGGGGAAGCCGCTTTCTCATAGGTTTAAACTGCGGACATGGTATCCAATCCTCGGGTGTTCTTTATGGGTGGGGAATCCTAAAACTCTTGGTCTTCGGTCTATTACCTAATGTAGGTTACACTCAAAACGGTAGGATTAGGCTTTACACAGCCAAGGGATTGCAGAATCGTCGTATCGGGGCGGTGAGAGCTCGTGTTTTTAAGGAACCGTAGTGAGATGGGCCATCTGGTTCATTCTTTTTTGCGGGTGTTATTGTTCGAATTTTGTCCTACTAGTAGGCTAAATTACGGTGTTACCCCCCCTCTTATCGCCTGCCCACCACCATTCACCTCAGGGCTTTCTCCCACTTCCACCAAGCCTGCTCCTATCGTAAAAACTGGAACGATCAGGAATGGCGATGCCGTAGGACGTCCAGGATTTCCTCCTTCGGAGTAAGGGGATTAAACATAGCGAAGGGAGTACCCTCTGCCTTGTGGGGTGGTGGGGAAGGAGTATGCAGTAAACCCTACAGCCGCCGGAGAGGCAACTCCCAGTCCCAGCGAGATTGGGAATACCGGTATCATATCATAACTCCAGTTCCTTTGGCAACTGCTAGGACCCTACAGTAGCTCAAATGTGGTGCAGCATTATGCTAGTCTAGGGACTGTGGCTCAGAAATTTTTATGCCAGGATTTCCCCAAGGTAAGTACTCGAGTATGAGACTGAGGCACAGTGCACAACGGCCGTAGCTCCGTACCAACGCACTTCCCCTATGCAATACAAATCCACTTCCGAGGTGCTCCTGGTCGCTATTTGGGGCTAAGGTACAGTCCTGTATGCAGCCTAATTCTCCCATTCACATCTGTACTGTACGAGTGCTGTACAGTACAACCCCGGGCACGCACCCCGGACCCAGGGCTCCGGGTATTAGTAAATTTCAGGAAACAAGGCCACTCCCCACCGTCAGTTACTGTACCATGAAGTAGGATACCTCTATATCATACCCCACATTCACCCCCCAAACAAAACCTCGCCCGATACACCGGTACATCGGCAAACGTCCCAAAGTGGGAGGAGAATTACTATTATACCACCAGAGTGGTGAACCGCCTTCACTGCTGCCTGCCCCCACCCAAAAACCCCGTCACCGGACCAAACCCGAGCCTCCTAGGGTTTCCGGCAGGACAGTAGTACAGTACTGTATGATATGATATGATACCCGCCCACTTACCAAAACCCATAGACATCCAACCCCCCCCCCCCCCCCCCCGCCTCCCCTCCTCTGTATGATACTAAATCTGCCTTGTACGGTATATGTTAACTTCCCCACTACTCGTAATACTACTACGATCTAGCCTCAACCTAAACCGAACCTGTTGCACAAGCACCGCGTCATAACCGTTGGAGACCTGATTCAGCCTTACCGGTACAGTACGAGTCCTGTACTCGTACAGGGCCCTGTGATGCACCGCCGGCTCCTGTGCAACCGGTTGAGACCGAACACGAGCACCTCCCCCAGTACGATAACCGCTAAACAGCTGAGAAAATTTATGCGTCGATCACTGCTTGGCTTACGATATCAGTTGTCAATGATACTTTTTTTCTAAAATTTGAGGATTTCATGTCTCGGATCTTAATGTTGATTTGCAGCATTGAAAAAAGGTATCATAGTAACACAAATAGTGAAAGTAAGAATACAAGTTACACTAGTAATAACACCATACTCTAAAGGCAAGGAAAGCGCAATACGCCGAACGGAGTCTAGAGTGCGTGGATACACGCTGATGGAGGAATTTGGGAAAAAAGTGAATACATAAAAATAGGGTCGAACTAAACCTAAAGAAGACCTCGCCATGTAGTACAGTCGTTATCGGCTGGAATAGCGGAGTGCCATTAAACCGTCAAGCTGTCGTATAATCGAAGTGCAGGCAAGCAAATACCCCCCCCCCCAAAAAAAAGAGAAGGAAAAGAAAAAAGACACAAGATTACTCAAGTGAAGAAAACTCCCCAAGCAACTACTCCCGCAACAATCCATACTCCCAATGTCTCCCCTGCCAACCTCCCCGTTCCAGTCCCAGCAGAATTAGCCGTCGCAGAAGAACTATTCGTCCCACTCGCAGCAGCAGTAGTCCCATTAGGCAACGTCCCATTAATCACCAAGGTCTCAGTGCCATTAACATTCGTGATCCTCACCAGACTGCTATTATTGCTCGCCTCTCCAATCACCTCCTTGATATATGCCACCTCAGTGTTTTCCTCGCACCCGCACACCGAGTACTCTTGGCACAGGCAGAGCACGGGGATTGTCTCCTCTGCTTTGCTCGTTGCGTTGTAGAAGTTGGCCGGGTTAGGCCACGGGTAGGCAAAAACATTAAATAGCCAGAGGCCCGGGAAGAAAGACAAGAGGGTGAGGGGGAGGATGGAAGGGATGATTCCGTGGGGCGTACGCCTGCCGGAGGTGTATGGGACTGCCGCGCCGCCACTGTAGGAAGCTGGGCTGTGGCCGTAGGATGGAGAGATGCCGGAACCGCTTTTGGAGGTGCCACCGGTGTTGGAGGAGGAACTAGAGCGGTTGTTGGCATTGCTTGTGGAGGATTGGAAGAATTGGAAAGTGGGGCTTACCTGGAGGAGGAGGATGAAGACCGTCCGCCGCTACTCCCGCTACTCCCGCTACTCCCGCTACTCCCGCTACTCCCGCTACTCCCGCTACTCCCACTCCTGCCACTACTCCCACTACTCCCACTACTCCCACTGCTCCCACCGCTACTCCCACCGCGACCACCACCACCACCACCCCCACCACCACTGCTTCCTCCTCCCCCGCCACCGCTAGACCCTCCGCCGCGCCGCTTCACTAGAAACACACCACCTAGAATACTGCGTACCGACAACGCAGCGGAAGGCGGTTCCCCGCCTTGTGATACTGCCGCGGCATTGACGTTGGTAGCGGTGTGAAAACTGCTCAAAAGAGCAATTGAAATTGATAAAATAACTGGTGAAACCTTCATGGTGTTTATAGATTTTTTTTTCTCTGCAGTCGGTTGAAGGGATTGGGCAAGGGAGAAGGTTTATCCCACGAAAAACGGCGACGATGATGGTCTGGAAATATAATAGTCTACCAGAGACCAAGGAGACCTAGGTGGGGAAACACGCGCCTTTTGTATCGCAGGGACTGAAATGCGGGCCCCAGAAATTTGAGTGTGTGGTGTGGTAGATTACTCGTGACATTGTTCGCTAGTGCTAGCGAGTAGAGCGATAACTTAGAGTCAGGACCTGTGAGCCTTGTACGGCGCTCAGTGACCCAGGAGTGATAGGGGTACTGTAGAGCACAGCCACGCCCAACGTTACCTTCCAAGTGGGAACTATCACCACTTGCCCAAGATTGCGCACAGCCGTACAAAAGCTCTGACACTTTTGAATTCTCGCAGGATTTCACCGACACTCTTGGGAATCTTCCCCCCCGGTCTCTAGTTACCATGCTGAGCCGGATGCTGTGGCTGAGAAAATCATGTCAAAAGAGTCAGGAACGGAGAGATCTAGGAATGAGGAAGGAGGAAAGGACGGAGCGAGGAGATGATACGTAAACCATAGATCGAGCAAACCCGCAGATGAGTTTAGTGGTTAGTGCCGAGCCATTGCTCATTCATTGCATCCCTACAATATTGGCAAGCCCCGCCCTTCTGGTCAATTGTCCTGAGCTTTCTAATGGATAGCCTTTTGCAATCCTAACCCATCTAGACATCTGAATGCATAGAAGGAAATAGTGAGAAAGGAATGGGCCTCTACCGGCATTTTGCTTCAATTAATGCGAATACGACCTCCCACCCCTGTTCTGAACACCCCATTGTCCGGGGACCGGCAAAGTGTCGCGCGACTGTATCACACCACAAGAGCATGCAACGTCTTCGCTATCCCTCTCTCTCTTTCGACTATTCAGCAACCCAAATCGCACAAAAATGTTCACAAGGTCCAGAAACAGTTATCTGAAAGGCTCTTGCTGCTCTGTTAACGGGGATAATTCCTGAGGTATTATTCAAGGAATGGTACGAGAACTTTACCGAAGGGGCTGTGCTGGACCGTGCTCTAGCACCCCAAGACTCACGGGAAGAGCTCCCGGGCTGATGAGTGGCGGTGCACCGCGGGACAGAGTGACAAGCCCCAAGTCTAGTTGCCAGGGGCGACCGGAATGATGTCACCAGCAAGTCGGCACGATACGAGATGTCTGCCTCCAAACACTACCCAAAAAGGCAAGATGATACGCATATCTTACGGTGTAGTCTAACCCTATGCCATCAGAGCATTCCCCAGATCGATTCTTCTAGCGCTATGATGGCTCGTCCAAAATAAGATTTTTGATTCTTGCTTTGTCCGGAAATGGCAAGAGGGCACCGGGTCCTAGTTCTGGAACTCTCAGGGTCCTGATCTTGGGGCGATGGCGAGTTTCACTTCACCGGCCTCTTATGATACGAGTACGAGTATTCCAACATACCGGCATAAATTTGAGTGTTCGCCGGTTCCCGCCGGACATTGTGGTACGCAAATGTTTCGTTCTTAGCGGGCAGTACCGGTAGCCATGTCACCTGATTGAAGTCATGTTTTTTTTTGGTTTTTTTTGCCTTTTCTTTGAGGGTGACCGTGGCCCACTAAAGGGACGACACTTCAATGATATTATGACGGAATGGGTATTAGACAGTAGGGTTTTCGATTTACTGTGCTTATGTTGCTGGATTGAAGTCGCCTCCCCCTTTTTTTTCAGCAGGTTACTACCTAAACAGGAGCAACTTCAACCAGGCCACTGGAGTATGTACTAGCACGGCGTGAGTATAAGTATATTGAATGTTACTGTTAGGTCCAACTTTGTCTATATTTGTGGGCACCTGCAAGTATGGAGGACATGTTTTACCAGACTTTCTAAAAGTTGACAGAAAATAAAGGTTGTAGAGCTTTAAGAGTTTATATGTTCTGACCTACCAAAAAAAAATTCTACTTGATTAAGGGAATATCCTCTTAAACAAGTAGATCACTATCCTAGTAGGATGTCCTACTAGTAAAGAAGAATTCTGCCTATTCTGCCTACTAAGCTTTCAATATAAGATAATATAAGTATGTTTATGTAAAAAAAGGTGAAACTTGCTAACAACTATTACAGATTTGACTTTAGTAAGCCTGAGAATTAAATTGTCTAGGTTTTACATGACTCAAAGTTCTGAGTAATAGGTATATTATATGATATACTCTGGCTCATATACAAGCCAGAGGATATCATACAACTTATATTATACTTGATTGATTGTTTGGTAACTCATAATTGTAAGTTACATAATATTACAACTTTCTCATAATTGTAAGTTATATGATATTATAACTTTAATATATAACTCAGATTGTAAGTTATGGGTTTCATATATGTAATACAATTAGTATATATGACTGATTATTTGATTTATAATTAGTTTATAGTATATTGTATAGCAACTCATAGGAGTTAGCTGATAGATCTTACATGATTTATACTTATAATTCATACATTATTCATTACTCAAGAGTATGAGTCACCAGGATTAGGATTTACCATGGAGGACTACTTGCCGTTTTCAAAAGTATCCAGATGTTGGGCTTAGCTTAGTATTTATCAGTCCCTTCGCTTATGGGAAAGGATTGATGAGAATGCCAAGGAGAAAAAAAATTCAAAAATCAGTACAGGTGCTTGAAGAGAACTGTTAGGTATCTTAGTACTTTTTTTTTTAATTCACTCTCTATCCAATATGGGCACATAATACAGTAGATAGTGTAGGTCTTTTTGCTACCAAGCTAATTTCCTGATATCCGGATACTTCTGAAAATAGCAAGTATATAAGAAGACAGATCAAGCTAGTTAGTTAGTTTCTTATATGTTTATCTAAGTAGCCTTACTACTAGATAGCTACTATATATTCTTTACCTATTATATGATTTTTACCATATTATAAGATGTTTAAGACCCTATTACTCAAGTAGGCAATACCATATCTAGTATTGGACTGTAATATACTTTACTATAACAGTTAATACATGTGACTATACTTCTTATAATAGACTTGAATAAGAAGCCTTAGTGGAAGTTATAATATTATATTACAAGCTTCTTTTCTTAATTAAACTAAGGAGCAGTACATAGTCCAAATAGGCATTAGATAATAGGGGTCTTAGGACTTAGCTATTAGTATAATGTAGATATAGGCCTGAAAGCTACTGGATGATGAGAGAAAGTCTTGTTACCTTTTATTAAGATCCTATTCCAGGTAGGAATTGTTATAAAAACTCTTTAATATTTTTTTTATTTAAAAAAATCATCAACTCTTTTATATTATTAAAATTATTATATATATAAAACCAACTTTTAGAAGAGTGATTCTTTTTAAGTCTAGTTAAAATTTTTTATCAAGTAGTTAGACAGTAGTTTATATTAAATTGTTACTGGTTATTTATACTTTCTAGTAATACAGTAGTAATTTGATAGCTACAAGATACCAGATAGTATTTTCCTCAAAATATCATGCTACAGAAACTATTACAAATTATTACCTCTACCAGCCCTGTACACTTCAAACACCGAGTCAGAGGCACCTGCCTGCCAGTGCCAATGGAAATATTTAGAACTTTTGTAATATATTCTAATATCTGCCCATTGGCAGTGTTGGATCTCATCTATTGTATTTACAACCCTACTAATATGGCAAACTATACCTAGCGTGGGGGCAAGGCTGATTCCATATAATAATTAGACACCAGTGGATTTCAGGAGTTTTTATGGGACAGTCCTTGCTACAATCCCATGAAGTCCCAGGCTGAGTCTCACCGGAAGGGATCACGAGAGGGCGTTTAGTGTTCACCCTGCAATCACCCTTCCAAGAAAGGTGAAAAGTAGTTCCGAAAGTTTGAGGGAAGATAGCATGAGGCCAGCATTCACTCCCACGACTTTGTTCGATCTCCCCTGGGTAGTGCGATCCGAAAGGTTTTGGTGTAGAGAGCATAGCATTTGAAGGGTTTACCCCCTTTAGTTTCTGGCTATGCGTTAGATCTGACGGGCATCGTATCTCCCCGCGGGTGGCGAGTATGATTCCCATCGTGCGCCTTGAGTCAGTTCTCCCTTCTTCCCACCGGGCCACCAGCCACGATGCTCCCGTTTCCAAAGCAAGGCGAAGCGGGGTCCCCGAGACAGGCTGGTGTACTCGAGTACAATAAACCTTTCCTTCTCGAAGCCTACTCTGCTAGGGAATTGATGACCATGGCTCGGCCAAATAGTTTACCCGTTCTGGGGTCTAAGGGGGACACGGACGGACACTTGAGGATGTAACCCTATACCGCCAAAACAGAAGTGAATTTGACATTGAAATCCGTCACTTCTCAAAAGGAATTAGGGATTTGAAAAACAAGTTCCCGGGAGGTGGAGGCATCGTAAACTAAGTTATAGCCTAAGGCTCTTGGTAAATACTCTTGTTCTCTTGACAACTCAGGATTGATATTGAAGTTATGAGAGCGGGAAGGCGTGCACTTTTTTCAACAATCTCTTTGCCTCTAGAGAGATAATTTCGTTTTCGGAATAATGGACCCCGCCAGGTTCTCGTATAATAGGTTGTTCATCCATGGGGCTGTGGGGATGGTTACAAGTACCTGTAAATGAGGCTCACTCTGGGGGGCTTGGTAAGTTAGCATACCCGAAAACGGGCAAAGCGATACCGGTAGCATCCAGCCCAAGGTAGAGGGTGAGAAAAACTCTCCGCTAGCCGCGCTGACTCAGTGGCCTGAAAACCAAAGAATATCATACCGTATCATACCGCATGATACTCGATGGTATGGATTTCCATGCTCCACCATGGGCATCACTCCCGCCCAGGCTTTTGATAAGGGATTGAACTTTCAGCCAACAGCTTTCCAGTTTCAGCGGGGCACCCTCACTAGGTGAATTGATATGGTGTGGCGGTGCGGCAGTGGTTGATAAGTTACTCTTGTTGTGGGACCCTAATACCCGAAGTAACACCTGGTCAGCTGAAGTTTTCGTGAAACGGAATCTCCCCTCGAGCAGGTTATGGTGACTCGGGGCGGGGAGTTATTGCGCAATTGGGGTATAATTTTTCTAAAAATTAGACAAGGCTTTTGTCTACGAGATCCAAAGCACCAATGCAGCTGTTGAGGCGGTTGAGAGCAAAATTTACTACTAGAAGTTTCAAACCTCGGTTTTCAGGACATTTTTTTTGCAATTCTCGGGTTTGCCAGTGGCCATGGTTCGCTATAATGTCGGAAGGAAGGATTTCCGAATCTATCATAATATTGTACTGTACCTTGCACTCCTGGTAAATTAGAAACCACAGGTTTCTCACCTCAGACCCAGGTTCTACTCGGATCCCGAGTAGCCCGAGACAGGCCTCGGCAACGGGAGATCGCCCCCCTTTTACACATTCTGGGTCGACAGAAATGCAACATCACCTCTTTTTCTTTCTCAAACCCCTCCTACCCGCTAGGTTGTCGGATTTTTAGGAATCATGAAAGCCATTCAAGTGTCCGCATACGTTAACGTAGGCCCTTCACCCCCAAACAACCTGCACCAGCGCATAACTGACTGTGAATTAACTATTGCAGGGCCCAGAGGACCTTAAAGTCACCGAGCTCCCGGACCCAATCCCGGCCCCAGGCGAATACCTAATCCAAATCCGCGCCTCAGCGGCAAACTTCTTCGACCTCCTGCAAATCCGCGGGAAGTACCAGAACCAGCCCCCATTCCCCTGGATCTCGGGCACGGAATTCGCCGGTACCGTCATCGCCGCCGGTTCCTCCGCCAAAAGGTTCAAAGTCGGCGACCGCGTCTTCGGTGCCAAACAGGGTGCGTACGCTACAAAGATCTGCGCTGCGGAGCCGTTACTGCACCCCGTACCCGAACGCTGGGGGTTCGATGACGCGGCGGGGTTGTATGTTACTGCCCCTACTAGCTATCAGGGACTTGTCGGTCGGGCGGGCGTGAAGAAGGGGGATTGGGTTCTTGTGCATGCGGGAGCGGGTGGTGTGAGTTTGGCAGCGATTCAGATTGCGAAGTATTTTGGTGCCAAGGTTATTGCCACCGCGTCTTCCCATGAGAAGTTGGGGATTTGCAAGAAGTTTGGGGCGGATTATGCGATTGATTATTCTAAAGGCACCTGGTCGAAGAGTGTGTTGGAGATTACCAATGGGAAGGGGGTAGACATCGTCTATGATCCTGTAGGCCTTGTGGAGCAGAGCCTGAAGTGCATTGCTTGGAATGGGCGGATATTGATTGTCGGGTTTGCGGGAGGGAAGATTGAGAAGGTTGCCATGAATCGGGTCTTGTTGAAGAATGTTTCGTTAGTGGGTCTACATTGGGGGCGGTATCCCGAAATCCAGAGTGAGAAGCGGACCGTTGAGGATGTATGGAGTGGGATTCTGGGAATGATTAAGGATGGTGGGTTTAAGCCTACTGTCTATCGGGGCGAGGAGTTTGTGGGATTGGAGAGTGTCCCGAGAGCGTTGAAGGCTTTGGGCGCTAGGGAGACGTGGGGGAAGGTTGTCATCAGTGTGCCCAAGGAGGGTGAAAGTAGACTTTAGATGGGGCGTTGGTTTATGTCATTTTCGCTACCAATTTCCAACCTGTTGCTCCTTTTTGATATCTCGTATTCACAAAACATCACTCAATCTAAAATGGCTTAATGGAGGATCCCCTTTATTGTGGAGGAGAGCGCCCAACTAGCTATCCCACCTTCTGGAAAGCGAAGCGGGCCCAACCTACTGAAGGGACTATCCCTGCTATGATACCAATCGATCTTCCCGGCACCACTCTTCTTCTCCCGACAGCTCACCTGCTGTGGGCGATTACCCAATAGAAGACCTACACCAACTTGCTTCGCTCCACTCCACCCATTGTCTTCACCTTCCCCTCAACTCCCCTCTAATACCTCAACAAATCCCGCAAACCGGACCCTAATAATCCTCTCATAGAATCCGACGCCTGACAAGCGTTCTTACACTCCTGGACCTTCCCCTCCATCTCTACTACCTCCTTCAAGAACCCAGTATCAGCCAGCTCACTCTCACCCTCCCCCGCCCCAACCTCGGCCATAATGGTATCCCTCCTTCACCAGTACTTCCACCAACATCTGCTTCTCTGAGAATCGCCCCTGAGCCCGAGGTAGCTCCTTGCACGTTATGGGGATCCCCTTCTGGGCAGCGGCCCATTCCTCGTTTTCGGTTTCCGGGTGGGGATCCTTGCAGGGGGCTTTGAACAGATTTTGCTTTTCCCGGGTGTCTGGGGTGAGGAGATGGATGCGGTAGAGGGTTAGGTAGAAGTCTGCGCGGATGTCAAGGAGGGAGGTGAGGAGGATTTGGGCCTGCCCGGAGAGGGTAACGACGGCTTCGGCACTCGGGTTCGTGAAAGCTCCCTTGCCAGTGGTATCATAGTAGCAGTGGTTGGGGGTTTGGGATGTTTGAGATGCCGAACCAATTTGGAGAATAGAGGCGTTCCGATTAACGTAATAAGTTTTGCTCTTGTATTGACTGTTCACGGTACGTTTTCCGTATCTCGACGTAATAAGCATGTCCATGCGGAACTTTATCGGTCGTGGAATTCAATTGGAGGAGGAGGCTGTGGACGTCGGTGTATATGATACCACCCTCTCTATGATTCGAAGTTTGAAAACCTCGTGACCTTGAATACATTTCATATCATAGTTAAGAACAGTTCCCATGCGATCGATCCGGCGGTGCCATTGCAGTTCCTTCCCGAAATTTTGACGCTCGATATAATTCCTGGTCTATACTCCGGACAGATACCGAAAACATTTTATGATATCATACACCTTCCCTTCGACAGTGAGCATAATGAACTCAACTTGGCAATCGTTTTCCGAAGAATGTTTTCATGCTTTCGGCTGCTGGACGTGGTAATTGGGGTAGTGTGCAAGTTAGTGGTCATCTTGCAGGAAACCTCTCACACGGATCGTCTTTTTCTGTTGCGAGGGGGTATTCTGATAAGTACCGCGCACGTCGAAGGATAGGTTGATATCTGACGAGATCCATCCCCGAAATCTTCCTCCAACGAAAAGCGCAGAACTGAACTTTGGGAAAGTGGTTACCGCACGAGAGTGATGGGTGGAGGTAGACATTAGAGATTATTGACCTGCTCTTGCAGTCTAGCTGCCAAGGGTGGGTCGCTACCGACGTTTACGGGTTTGCAGGAAGGTTGGGGGTTTAGCTCTCCTCCCGGGGGTGGATGTATGGTAGTATTATACGCATTTGGGAAGAAAGGAAAGGAGAGACTTGGAGAACAACCCTTCTCTATATCAAGTAGTTCAGTGAACAGTCTGAAAAGATAATATAATATTGTTTCCTTCGTCGAAAGAACCTGGAGAAAGTGCAACCTGAGGCAGAGGAGGCAGCAGGGTCATGAGTAAGTCATGTGTTCGTCACGTGATTGCTGAGAGACGCCATTACATTTATGAGGAATTAATCGGTGCGGTCTCGAAGGGGAAAGCGACAAGGCAAAAACGCAGCCAGCTAGTTCATGAAGGATCACTCGCCAGTTTTCAACACACCGGCGGGCTTCTCTGGAGATAGGCCTCGGAGAAAGAATATGCCATATTTACCGTCCCACGGGCGGGTGAGGGGTGCAGGTGGGGCGAAATCTAGAGACATAACCGTTCCTGCACTCCTAGTGAACTCATGCCGTCGACCGATACCCCAGGTGCATTTAGTGGAGAGAGATGGGGAGCCAATGAACTGGGAATTCCAAATGCCACGAACTAGCCCTTTCATTTTACCCCAGGGTTTTCTCCTGGCTTCTTCGGGCACGGCCAACCAGTCAATAGTGAGTGATAAATATTTCCCCCTTTCCAGAACCAATGAGCGTTGTGATAGGAAAATGTTACCGGTGTATGATACCTTTTTCGGAAACCAAAATGTCATTATATACTGTTGAGAAATGGTGGAGGTACAGCGAGAGATTTGCTGGGACTTCCTACTCACCATATCGTATATGGAAGTATACGTGGAAGTGGGTATTCCGCATCATGACTTTCGTCATCGCAATAAGGTATATATATACCGTTCCTGCTCCGCTTCGCTAACTAGAAAATAAATTCAACAATATTCCGCTGCACAGCAAAGGGTTCAATTCTTCACATACTTCCCGCTAAACTCGAAGTCTTAGCGGTGCAAATGACGTTCCAATACTGCCATATTAACCACATATCTGCATAGGAGAAGAGAACAAACTAACGAAAAAAAGTAACGCGAGGTGCAGTATGTGGGGGGGTTGTTAGATGCTTTACAACTTCCGTAGAATCTTCCTTTGTCCAGCGCAGGAGAAGCCAGATATATGAAGCGGGAGTGAGAAGAGAGTATACTCGCGAAGGTTTAGGACCAGAGGTAGCAGATTGAGGGGGTGAAAGGGGCAGAGAGTTCGACATCTTCTCAAGGTCTCCCCTCCACCAGGAGAGAAGCCAAGCTTACGACCTAGGAGCAAAGAGAACCTCCAGATAAAACGGACACTAGAAAGACACGTAACTATGAAGGACGCAAAGAGAAGAATCCAGCGTTTGACAGTTTTTCCACAGACCTTCCCACACCAGGAGAGAAGAACACAGATTGGCGATACAGGCACGAGTAGGGATGGAAATGGAAGGAATAACAGACACATGTTCTGTGCAATATTTACACCCCTCTCGCATCCCATAAGCATTCTCCATGGGGAAATTTACGGACCGCAATCAGGTTACCCGCATCATCTCCCTAGCTTGTATCATAACAGACGCAAATACCAGAATTGGGCGGCTAATTTCATTACCGAGTTAGCACGGCGGGGGGCTTGATGAGTATGATAAGTGATGGGTGGGAGATCCACTACGGGTAGGAGTTATGTTTTCAGACCGGATAGCCAGAGTAGACTAAAGCCACCGCTACGTATAAGTGTCATGAGGATATCGTCCCATCACTCGAAGCTCATTATTGTGGGAAGGGGGTTCTAAAAGGATCGTGGTTGCGTGAGAGCTCTGATTCTATAGTCTCAGCAGCGGGCCCGGGGCAAATTCTGCTGGAGAAGCGACCGTTTGCACCGCGAGGAGTGGGAGAGGGGAAAACGCAGGAGTGGGAAAGTTGGGCGGTGCTTCCGAAAGATTGATGTTTTCGAGCTCTATCTAGATAACATGAATGTAATGTACTGCGGCACCTCCCGGGGGGCCTCCTCGAAAACGTGGATTGATCGATCCGAACTCAAGTACGAATATCTCCCACAACTAACTTGTGAAAAGATACCGTGCAAAGTTAAAACGCCCGTGCTTTTCTCGTGAGGGTGTCGGGCGGACCGTACATGAGGAGAGCCCCGGGTGAAAACAGATATGAAGGTAAAACACTAAGTTAGATGTGACTATTGGGGATTTTAGGAGTCTGGTATTGGTATTGGCCGGAGCGCACATGGATACCGGGAGCCGTCTTAACCCTGAATACCGCCCTTGTTTACTGAACAGCGCGTGATAATCCATGAGTCACGGAAAACACCGTTTTGACAATGTGCTGTGAAAGCTGGGTACAGTACTACTCTGGATTCTACGCGCATTACATAATAGCGAACGAGAAAGCATGAATAAAAAAGAATCAATGACTAAATTAAGTTGTATAGTGCCCGTTTCTCGTTTCTCATCCTTATTCTTTACTTCTTCCACCACCACTTCTTTCTCCCGCCCTCCGCCGGCCGCTGGGGACCTTCGCTAGGCCCACTTTCGGCAGTTCCATAGAACAACCTCTTCTGATCCTCCACAGCCCACAAGCCTGCTCCCGCGGCACTTGTGAACAGGAATAAGATACTTAATACAGGGAATACTTGCAGACAGACGTGCGGTAGCCCAAATCTTATAAAGTCAGTATTCGGAATATCTTCATGTCGTAGGAGAGAAAATACAGCCAGTATCTCCACCTGTTGCGTTTGATGAATTTCTTCTTCTCATTCTTTTGCAAGCCGTTGAGTTGGATATACCGGTAATGAGACAGGGGGCCGAGATGGTAACCTGTGAATAATTAGCACTGAACACAGTATGACACGGTAAAGTGGAACGGGAAAGAAGTGGCTAAGTTTACCCTGTAATATCAGGAACAAGGGAGTCCCAACTAACGGAATGAAATTCAATGGAAGCTCGCAAATAAACTCCATCGTAAGCCTACACGAAAACCTCAGATATGGGCTCTTCCTATGCTCTCCGAGCTTCGCTGTGGCTCCCTCCCTCTCGGGGTGAATATCCCTCGCAGTGCACACAAGGGCGTAAATATGTTCTCGGAACTCCGCGTCGTTAGACTTCTCAGCTGCGTGCATAAGCACCGCGTCAAAGGTGTCCACGATCTGGCTCTCTGTCATGAAGTTCTCCGCGATAAAGGTTATAAGTGTCGCAGCTTCGGTTAGGACCATGAACGCTGCGTTTATCCATGCTAGGGGTCCGTGGAAAAGAGTGAGTAGGGCAACTTGTGGGAGGTAGAGGGTAGCAAAGAGGGCGCTTAGGATTGCGAGGGATAGGAGCAGCAGTGGTATTATTCGAGAGAGGAGCGGTCTCATCAACTCGGGATGGAAAAGGAGGTAGAATATGCCCTTGAAAAGTCAGCACTCCGAGGGCAAACGTATTGAGCGGATAGCAAGGAGGTGGAATACGGCGAACGGATAGAACCATGATGCCGCAGGGAGTGCGTGGTTATGAAAGGCCGGGGGTGTTGGCGGGAGTAGCGGGGTAGAAGAGGGGTGATTATGGAGCGCCATCGTGAGCTGCTCGCTCGTTTGCTCTCCGGCGATGCGGTGGACTACCAGTAGGGACGAGGGGGCGGAGGCGGGCGCGAGGAGGGACTACCGCAAAGTATCATGGCTTTATCGTTAGTCTAAGTTGGGCTCGTGATCACCGCTTGATGAGCAACTATTTTAGTGTCATCCACACGGGCGCGGAGCCGCATGACTCGAGAACCCATCTCACAACTTATCACTCGGGAAACAAAATTTCTAATTGTGGTAAAACCCAGGAATGAATATCGACAAGTAATAGAGGAATAATGAATAGACGAAAGATTGCTTGTTCTTGGTAATACCTAAGACACACCACCTCTATATAAATACAGTAACTCCATAGTCTAGTTGTCCGTATTCAGGATACCACCAATCTCTAAACACCAGCCCCTTACTAGTCCCCTGACTTAAGGGTTAAGTATCATCCAACTTCACGCTAAGTGTCCTCTAGCTTGACACTAGTTTCATATCCACATATTCCGACACATATTTCAACACTAATGTAGTCTAGCTTAATATAATGCCCAACTCACGAGAACGCCTTCAATAACTTTTACATTACAAACTCTATTATTATGCGCATCACCACAGGCAAAAAAAAAAAGGAAAGCGCCCCGCCCGCCAAAGCGTTAACACTGAAAAAAAAAAAACACGATCCCGTATTAACGCATGCCCATCGGAGCTCCCATTCCTGGCCTATAAGCCGTCTGCTGCCCAAACTGACTGCCTGGGGTCATCTTAACCTGCGCTTGCTCCCTCCTAGCAGCCATAGTGCTCGGCCGGTGAACACGAACATCGGTATCGGTCATCTTATAAAGCACCTGAATCAAACCACCAACACCCACAACCAACGGGATCAACTGTCCCGTCGAGAGGATATCGTTGACATCCCGAACCTCATTCCAAGAAATCACACACTCGATCGCAATGACCGAGACGATCAAGACGAGAACACAAAGTGCCGGAGTCCATTTAGGCATTTTCCCGGAGGTGATCTCCTGCATGCTTTGCTCAACCGTGTTCTTGGGCTCCTCCTTTGCAGACAATTTCCTGTATCGGCTCAATGGCGTTCGCTGCCAGAATTCCGGTCCGAAGTTCCAGACGGTGTATCCGAAGAGGATGGTGAAGATCACCGCAAACACTATGGAGACGTACTTGTTCGCTGTGCGGAACCAGTCCCAGAGGTCGGCCTCGACGAATGCAAAGCCTTTGGTGCCACACGGAGTCGGTTCCATCTTGTCTATTCCCATCCACCAGAACCATGTGGCGTATCCTGCAACGGCAAAGTAGATGAAGAAACGGATGACACCACCCCAAGTGGTTTTGTTCCATTGGGATTTGTGAGTTGCGTGATTGGTGATCGTTGATGCCTTAGTTTGGCGTTAGTTCCCGCTCCTGTAACTCGACATGAAGAACAAGAAGATCACTTACGGAACCAATGATCTGGATGATGATGATATAAGGATCAATGGCGTGGGCGACACCCTGGTTCGAAATAGACAGTAGCGCTGTCAACATGGCTAGCTGGAAACATGTATTGACATCCCTCATCTTGGTAACTTTTTTCTGGTGCAACCAGTTGGAAAGAAAAGTTGATAGCCACTGAGCATACAATCCTATCCGGATGCCCAACCCATAAACGTCTTGATTCCCAGAAAATCCACACCCATTATCCGGTTCAGGCGCAGCTGGGTCCTGGCCGAGAGCATTCGCAACTTTGGTAGCGGTTTTCGGACTGCCGACCGGAACTGCAGAAACCAGCGCAGCTGTGAAGAAAAAGACAAGGAGTGGCCGCAATGTGGCAGACTTAAAATCAGTAGTTGCGCCCATTTGAACTCGGCGGCGATGGAAATGAATGGAAATGAGTGGAAATGAGTGGAAATGATGGAAATGATGGAAATGAGTGGAAATGATGGAAATGATGGAAATTTTCTCCACTTCTCGGTGGGGAAACTACTCCATGATATACCTTTTCTCGACCCCACTTAGCAAAAGCACAAAACACGATAGACTGGTGCACCCTGCCCGCGCTGGCCCAGATAAAAATCTCTAAGCGGCATCTCCGTGTCGCTTATTCTGGGGCTGTATGGCTTATGCTATCTCCCTTATCCACAATTACTAACGGACCACATCCTGCTCCTGTACTACCAGTTATCAGGCAGGGGCTAGACTAAGCGCTATTTCGGGTTACAGTACATGCACCACCCCCCAGCCTCATTAGCCGAGTGAGGCACCGCGTAGGGGAGCATGGTTGACTGTACTCGTGCTGTATGAGTACGGTAGGCACCATGAAGCATCTGGAGGGGTCGGCCATAGAAGAGGGCCTAGGCAAGCAAGAGCAGTGGAGCCCTCAGCCTCTGCTATTGAAAGTGGCCCAAACATTAGCTACGGGAGCGCAACGGGACCCTCGGGACTGCAGTAGGATCGCCAGGTGTGTGCGTGCGCAAGTGTTGTACTGTACGAGTACCGTATCTTCATTGTTTTCGCACTGCACCAGGAGCTTGGCAAGAGTAGGAGCACTTGGACTCCTTTGCATGAGATCTGTGGCGAATTTTGATTAGCTTTGATCGAGTTGAGGAAGAGCTTACTCCAGTTGCTAATTCGGTAGATTTTAGCCTCGAGAAGGCTTGTTTTTCCCGGTTAGTTTTGTGGCCAACCCAGTCCGGGGTATTTTTTGGGGCATTTCGTGGCGCGAACCGGATTGCAAAGGCGCCAGCGGATACTGCGATAAATTTACTAGCGATGAACCCTACGCGGACGATGAGTGAGGAGTAGGGGATTGTAGCGAATTGGACCGGGAAGCCGGTCGAACAAAAGTGTCGGACAAAAGTGTCGGGGGAATGGAAATCTCGATTGATGTCCAATGGCAGGAAGGTGAAATTCGGGGGGATTTTATTTCTGCGAAAACTCTGCAGTGAGGATTTGGGAAAAATTCGGAGTCTGAAGCATCTTACTGATCTGTGATAGTATCCGTATCATACGCTGAGTTGCTTCGTTGGTTCGTTAGCTCTCACATACAGTCGCACCTCGCTATCCCGCACGGCCAAATCCTAAGAATTTCTCCGGGACAGTGGGTGAAGTGTTGATGGAAACAAATTCAGAGTTCACAGAGATTCATACGAGACAGCGAGGTATCCGGATAATCGAGATCCGGGACAGCGGGGTGTGACTGTACCCAGATATTCATCCTCCCTTCCTTGCGCTTTTGACAACAAATCCCAATGGGCGAAGAAAAAAGGGGCGAAAAAATCAGCCGGGGGAGAGGACAAAAAAGCCTTTCAATGTGTCAGGAACAAAAGTTCTCTCTTGCGGGGAGAGGTTTCAGCACTTTGCATAAGCAAGTTAAGGTACAGTACTCGTACAGTGCAGAACTCCGCCCGTGCGGGTGGTGTGGGACTCACACAACAAGGTAGCAACTGGCGAGAACCTGCCCCCCCCTCCCTTTGGCTAAACAGAGCTTGGCAGCAAGATAACTCTAAAAGCACAACTGGCCAGTCCCACCATACCGGTATAAGTACCGCAACTTGCGATCCTGGCCCGAAGGAAGGGAACGCTAGGCGGGGGCTCCTGCATTCATACCGGGTCACTCGCGCCAATATTTAGGGGTAAAAAAAGACATGAGTCACTATCATAGTAGGTATGGTGCTCTCCAAAATCCCGGGGGATATTACCAGTCGGCAGTTTTTCACTCTTCTGGCCCCTGTCTTCCTGAAGAGTCCTTGGTACTGTACTGGCACGAGAGCACTCAAGTGCTTTAGGGTAATTGTACCCTGGAAACTCTTGAAGTCTACTCTCCTGTATCAGGGGTTAATCTCCGGTCCCCCCACAATAGGTTTAGTTTGACAGGTTAACAAGATTGCGAATAGCAGTTACTCGTAGCATGATACAGTCGCACCCCGCTGTCCCGAATGTCGATATTCCGAATACAGTACCTCGGCCCCGTATATTCAGAAACTCTGTGGACTCAGAATTTTTTTTTCCCACCAAAACCTTACCCACTGTCCCGGATCCCTCGCTGTGCGAGGTGTGACTGTAATCCTTCCAAGGAGGGGTTGACCCAGGATCCGGAGATTACAGGACTGGCGGAGATAGTCGGGGTTGGATCCCTACGTTCGTTCCTGAATTTCACGCGCTTTTAGGGACTTTAGTGAGAGCGGAAAGCGTTCCACTGGCGCCTGTTTGGGAGAGATGGTCGCAACCATTATCGCCTGGACTGCTGAAATTTAAGAAATCCCACCACCCCTCTCATCTCCTAAGATAGCCGCGGCGCATGCTTTGCGTTACAATACTGCTGTAGTCTTTATTTTTTTCTCAGTGTACTCGAGTACGGTACTTGCAGTAACAGGCATCCTAAGGTGTCCACACCTCCGAATTTCTGGTATCCAGCAACAGTGCTACTTACTAAGGACCGTAGGGGTGGCAAGAAATTTTTTAAGGTTCACGTAGTCTGGGTGTTAGCCGTGTGCTTGAAAGCGAAGGGAGGGATAAAAGAAATGATCGGAGGAGGGGTTAAAGGCGCTATTGTGAACCGGGGGATAAAATACTACCGGTAGAACCCCTTAAGAAATAGATAAAAATTTAAATGATGACAAGAAGGAAGGCATACAACGGAGGTACAAGTACTGTACTAAGCAAATGTTTTCATGCAAGGTTGGAGTAGCAGGGGTGCCTAGTAAAGGCAAGCCCATAATGACACCAGCCCGGGAAAATAATAAAGGGTAAAAGAGAAGTAGGTACAGGTATTTTAATATTCAGAATAAGTACTATTTGTAAGCTGAACTAGTAGAGAAAGTGGGTAGCAATAGGTTGATTAAATATATATATTTTCTCATACCTTATAAATATAGATAGGAACTAAGGCTACTAGTAACTCTAGTTCTACTAGGAAAATCATATTCCATACTTCTTGGATTACAGTAAAGAGTATATTATTTGTAAAAGAGAATATAGTTCTACTTATAATAAACCAACAAAATTGAGGGAAAGATAGCACCTGGAAAAACACCAATACTGAACATGAAACTGGTGAAAACATATTTATTTTACCTCTGGCCTGTAGCCAGGAAGCAGGACTATCGGGTTATTAAGGTGGAATTTTAATATTAAATAATATAAAAGTTTTATTAGCCTTTAAAAGAAGGGAAGAAGAAAAGTTACCTGGATATTCCTTTTTTCAAAGATATTGACATCTTTTATTTTATTTAATATCAAAATCCCACCTCAATAACCTTGTAGGCCTACTTCTTAGGTATAGGTCAGAGGTAAAATAAATAGGTTTTCTCTAATTTTGAGTTTGGTATTAATTTTCTACTAGGTGCTATTTTCTTATCTACTTGTTAGTTTATTATAACCAGTATCATAGTGTATCAGGTATCAAGGGTAAATCTGTTAAATATGTAGTAATTGATCAGTAGTATTTCAACCAACAACAAACAAGCTGCTGATACCTGTCCACTATTATATAATCAAAATATATAGTTTTGCTGTAGATAATTATTATGGTATTTAGTATAACAGGTGAGAGTATACAATATTGAAAGAAAAAATAAAGAACAAAGAATATTAAGTTGACTATGTATGATACTGGCTAGAGTAAGTACAAAGAATTGGAAAACAACTTATGATGAGCATTTACAAATCCTAGTACTATAAGAAAAAGCAGGTATGATGTAGAAGGTATAAACTCTCTGAATTAATTAAGAGTATATCAGCTAATAAAAATAGAATATTGGTAAAAGGGTAGATTTAGACTTTAGAACATGTCAGAAAATATACAAGCAGGTAAAGGATCATGGCTGATCATTAAAGTGCTAGTGATTCAAATATTCCATTACCTTTAATGCAGTTAAAAAGGAGTGTTTAGGAGCATTTATAACTCAGGATAAACAAACCTACTACCTGTAATAGGAAGAGGTTATTCAGGAACTGGATTACAACTGCTCTGCAAAGACTGTAAGAGATGTGACAGCAGCTATAAGATATTGTGGAGGGCTACTACAGAAAAAGTAGGTACTTAAAAATGTGAATTATATATATATTTAAACTAATACAAGTGATATAAATAATTAGATAGAAAATTGGAAGCTATAATAAATCTAAGAGAGTTGTATGGTATTAGGAGTAGTTGAATTGGACTGAGAAAGAGTTAGAACAATTCCTCTTCTCATCCACTGGACCCAACTAAACTAAATCTCATGCAGAGGAGTTGGGCGGAATGGGAACTCTTGTTATTTATAAACTTATGCTTTGTACTATACGGCCCTTGGAGTAGACAAAAGTAGTGTCCACCTCCATTCCAAGGCGTCAGATTTGTGTTAGATTTGTGCCTAGACTAAACTGTTGTCTGGAATATGCAACATGTGCTATGTAGTTGGTATATTACATTCCTGGCCCGGGAATGAAGCTGGTGGATTGCATTCCTTAGTCAGGAAGAGGTGGCTTGTGAATGGGGGCTGGTATGGAATGATGGTTGCACCGAACTTGGATGTTTGTATATATAGTCCTTGTTTTTCTGTTATCATGCGACCACCGATTATAGGATTGAATATTACTCTATTTAAGGTCGACTTCAGTTTTCATAAACCAGGCTGTGAAGTCCGAGTGATAACATGTGATAACATTTTTTTGACCATACAAAGTTGGGCCCACTTGCAAATGGAGAAGTGGGGATTGCTAGAGCGTCGGCGCTAGCAAAGGAGTTGTATCACTAGGCGCGGGGTGTAGTACCACAACTTCCCCGGCGTCAGAAACGCAGATACCCCACTGCCCCGCCTAAAGGTCCGTGATTAGTAAATTGTCCGGTCAGATCCGCCTTCTTAGTGCTGTGATAAGCGGGGGGCTATCGTACATAGTTGTAGGTGACTAGAGTATGATATAAAGATCCTACCATCTATACGGGGGGTTTTACTGACACGTCATTAATATGGAACAATTTGTGAATTTCAGAATGGAGCTAAATTTATATCGTATTATGGATACGGTTGAGGGATACGGCGGACTCGGTGGTTGAGGAATGGTGACCTAGCGAGTGTAGCTAGTACCGCTGCAGCACTCGCATGCCAGAGGAAAGATATAAGCGGCTCTGAGGGCAATGATAGTGCACTTTACGTGGGGAGAGAAACGGCAAGGATTCGATAAGGTAACAGGATGAAAGACAGGAGTTTTCAATAGTGAGACTACCGTACTGGAGTAAAAACTCTGCTAACTTCGCCTAGAAGATGGTGTTAAGGGAAAGCGGGCAAAGGAGAATGACTAGCTCCATCGTGTCCGTCCTCAAGCCTTCTCATATTAGGCTAACAGTTTGGCCTTCTCCCTCCAATCTACTGCCTGGGTTCGGGTTGTGAGTACTGTAGGCGCAACCCTAGCTCTACCTAGTTTTCCAAATGCTTGAAATCCTTCATCAGAACACGGGGGGCGCGTTGGCGGGTTTTCTTGGGGTGGGCGCTCAGACATAAGGTGCTCTAAGGAGCAGAGCCTCTGTAAGCATCCGGAAGACCCAACGGGAGGTCTGCTACAGTGATGCTAGGCTAAAGGTTTGCTGCTGCCTTTTTAGCGCGGGAGGGATCCTTTTAGAGGTTTGGAGCCTGCTATAGTATGTTGTCCTATGGGCCCATTGGCATAGACAACCGTGTGTTTTATCTTCGGCCCACTCCTGCGCCTCTGACAAGAAGCTCTCCACCACTCAATATCCTTCCGCTAGTAGCAGAGGGTAACTGGACGATCCATCTCCTATCACAGTGAGAAGGTGCTCAAGCTGGATGTGCACACTAGCCGTCACCAAATATTTAATTACTATACTATATGGATGTCGAGAATTGGGAAGATAGAACTGGTGTTTACCTAAGTTATTTGCTTCTGAGTGATCCATGGTTCTTTGGCAGTTTGTTGAACCAACTCCACTTCCGGTTCACCACTGATACACAAATTTTGATTGGGAGCCATGCCACAAGAGCCCCGATTAGCAGTAACTGAGGTGTGCAGACTTCTGTCT